CGCGCGGCGACCCTGACGGTTGCTGCTCCGTTGTGCCCCGACGGATCCTGGCGGCGGAGGCTGCGGGCCAGCGCGGCGGCGGCGCGGTGCAGGTGGCTGCTGCCGCCTGCTAGACCTGCTCCCGGCGGTGGCCGGCCTGCTGGAGCTGCGCTGGTCGGTGCCCACTCCTGCGACGATAACGTTTCTAGGCTTCTCCCATGTGTGTTGGTCTTCTCCGACGATTCTTCGCCATGCCCGGTCTGCCAATGCATCTGAGGCCTTCGTTCTTGGGTCGGGGCGAAATCCCCGCGCGGCGACGGCCTGTGCTGTCAACGGCGACGCCCGAGGGTGCCGTCACCTCCTTGGAGGCGTTGGCATGACCCTGACCGGACCTCCTCCTCAAGCACCGGGAGAAATCCTAGGTCCGGCCTCCCGGACCGGGCAGCGGAGGTGTCTCAACGTCGTTCCCCTCTTGATGGCGCTGCTTTGGCTGCAAGTGGAGTACTTGATGCGACAGATGGTGGTTGGCGATGCATCAATCTGGCGTAGACTGCTACACAAGGAGCAGGTCGCAACGTTTGCCTGCGCCAGCAATCCCCAATGGATGCTACACCAGTTCCAGTCAGGCCCTGCCTTTCACCCGCCGACTCTCTAGGCACATGGGTGCGAGGTACGGCCTGGGCAGTCCTGAAGCTGCATTCCTCCCTGGAAGTGTCTGGCAATGGCAGTGATGCTGCCTTGTTGCTCCGAGTCTCGGTGCTTCGCCATTTTGGCTGGAGGCAAGGCTGGGCGAGGCCTAATGTCGTTGCGTGCCTGTAGTTGTGGGCACCTCCTCACCTAGCTGTAGTCACTTGGTGAGGACGGTCGTGTGTGTGTGTGCATGTGTGTGTCCCTCCTTTCTGGAGGTTGTACCCCCGATGTCTTCCTGTTCAATGCAATGAAACGCAATTCTTTTGCGTTTTCTCGAAAAAAAATATTAAAAAAATTGTAAGTTGTAAGGGAGTAAAAAAAATGATACTTTTTGCGCAGAAAGCAGATATATTGTTGCACTCTTGTAAAAACATTTGCAAAGAAATGACTTTCATGTTGTTCTGGAAGTAAAAAAACAAATTTGTCGCTATATATGCCGAACTATTCATGCTATTGTCAGATAACATTTGTCAATTTTGTCAGAGAACACGTTGCAGAATATTTGTGTACGCAAAAAACGACAGCTCAAGTTTGTTGGGAAAAAGTTATGAAACGTTTTGACATTTTCTGTTTAAAAATGAAGTACGTAACCAGGTGTAATTAACACCTATGTTCCAAAGGGTATATTCCCATACTTCCGTCCCTTTAAATTTGCATTGTGACTTTGTGACGAAAACATCATACAAGGTGCGGGGTGACATCCCTGCAGGTTCGGTTGAGCGACTGAACTCTGTTGCAGGTGAAGCTTATTCCAGCAATTGCCGTGACCTTCGAGGGGAGTTTCGAATCTCTGATAAGGTTAGGTCTTTTGTGGTGAAACCATCGGGTTTAAGTCTCAGACTTGACATGGATGCTCGTATTTTTCAGAATTTATTTCACATTTTGACGATTCAGTGGGAGAAAGCCATTTTCATCGACTACAAGGTGTCTATGACGGCCTGGTCAATCTCAAAGATTTAACGACCTAGTCTCTAAGAGATAGGGCTTGTGCGTGTGGGTTCATAGGGGTGAGCGTACGTATTTGTACCATGTATCTGAAAAGAAAAGGAAATCCCGATAATGGGAGTAGAGAGGCAGCATTGGGGTGCAAGCCACCTGGAATGTTGCAGGACAATTTAACTGGTTTGCTCAAAAGCCCTGAAAGGGTGCATATGTTAGTGTTGGCTGCTCACCTGTGACAAGCCTAACAAGTTTTTTTAACAACGTAAACGGACACGCCAGGAATAAATAGAAGGATTGCACAGTGTAGTGAAATGGTGCATATTGCAGCCTGCACAACTCTCTTTGATCACATCCAAGATATAGCAGGAAGATAAACTTCAGCTGGGTCAAAGAACAAACCATTTTCCATGCATCTTTTTGTGGTCAGTTGAGGAAGCAGTTTCCACAATACATCCAGGCACACTTCCAGTTGGGAGAACAGGCTCCAAATACATCCAGGCAATTCAAAAAATATTACAACCTTCAAATATACCAAAATTTTACGGCCCAAACACTTGCAGCCGATTATATCCGAAGGCATACAAACTAAGAAATGATTTTACCAACTTACAACCTATGTCCCCTATTCAGTCCCCTTTTACTATTCTGGAAGGGGGCTTTTCGAGAGCATCGGCACCTTCCAATCCAGGGGAATACTGTCTCAGGGTACCACCAAGCATTTTCTTCTTGCTTGAGATTAATATATCAGGATATCAACATCCAATGGTTGATGGGCAACTCGCAGCGTGAAGGAAAATGAGTTGCCCTTATTTGTTAGTACGTAGCAGTATCTTTTTCGCGACCCTAAGTCGCATAACATTTGCTGTAAACAAGAGCCACTAGATTGTGGTGGTAAGTAAGTGTACAACAGCTACAAGGGCAAGAAACGTGTTCCAGTGGAACTCAGAAGTTTGTTAAGATTTTATCTTTGGACATACCATCAGCAACAAGAGCTCTAGTAATTTCCTGCAAATATTAACATAGACGAAAGATCAGACTATGAGTGCAGAAACAAGCCACCAATTTCAGAAGTAGGCAAATGGTTAGCAATAGTCGGCATTAATGTAGTTTCAGTTTCAAAGCCGTCTTTAATTCCTACTCTGTTTGTACAGCCAATTGCTAGGTCAGGGCAGCAAATTTGTACTGGTACTCTGTTGGCCTATAAATGTGGCCTCAAACATAGAGTATTAAAAACAAATCCAGAGCAGTAACAGTATGGCCCATAAAAGGCAATAGCACACTGTTATCTATATTTTATAAGTAGTTTCGTCTTGAGAAAGTTTTAAACTGACCATGGATTTGCCAGAAGGGTATGTTTCTGATGTATTGATGTTTAAAATAAAAGAACACATGAAGCATCTAACGTACAGAAAGCATCGGGACACGTGAACGAACGTTTAGCAACCTGTATCGTTAGCTACAAAAGTTAGAAATGTGAATATATACCTCAGTCATCTGTTTATGTCCACACAAAATTGCTCCCGTCGATGATGGATTTATAACCTTCTTTGCCCTTGAAAATGCATTCTGAAAATGCAAGTGAATAAGAATATAAGGGAACCTGGTGAGCTAAGAACAGTCGAAAAGGAAAAATGATAACGGTACCTGAACATAGCCTCGCTGGCCAGTCCATTGATCATCTGGTCTAGAGAGAACAGGTATAATTTTTATTCCTCTCGATTCCCAGTCACTGAACCTTTCCTGTCAAAGCAGAGTCTCCAGCCATTACATAAAGAAGATTGTACTTATAAAATGTAACTTTAGACTGACATATACCTGATAAGCCATCCTTTGAAGGTTTCTCACCCCATAAAACAGGCTTACATCAATCTTCTCACTTTCACCAAAACCTGACTCAATGAGTGACCGGATTGGACTGCCACACATAAATATAAAATAGAAGATAATATGAGCAAACTTACACACTCCTATGAAATCTATCTTCTCAAAATGCACTTTCCACATCACTGATAAATTTGAGATGGCAATTACGTTCGCTTAAACCAAGGGTGGATCAGTGTGTGGATGCAATATATGTAGAGTGCAGAATCTGAGATGTACTAACAATCCAACTCAACAAAATAGATAAAAATATTCATGGATGCTCATCCAATCGAATGAAAGAACAATAAAATTAAGGAGAAGGTCATCACCCATCAACCACATGGCACGTGGAATGTGGCAGTCTAAAACAGATTATGTGGTTACCAAGCAACTCAATCGTTGTATTTAAAGCAAAGATGGAAAAAAACCCTGATGAAACAGTGTACTCCCTCTGTCCCAAAATTCTTGTCTTACATTTGTCTAGATACGGATGAACCTAATACTCAAACGTGACTTGATACATCCGCATTTAGACAAATCTAAGACAAGAATTTTGGGACGGAGGGAGTACTACAGTGGTGCTATCTAGATCATTGCCATGGCTGGGACCAAGTCTTTGTTGTCCTGGATGTGATCTAGTTTTTGTATATGATCTGTAGGTGTTTTGCCTGAATGCTGTTCTAATGTAGTGTGGTGTTGCATTCCTTAGATGTGGTCCAGATGTCCCGAAATGTAGGTCGCTTTCCTTCCCTGTTGCGTGTGTTTGCATCGATATTGGGCTCTTTGTAATGCTGTGTTACTCTGTTCGTGGCTCCATTTTCTTAGCAATGAAAATGGGGGCCCTGTGGCCCTCTGATCGAAAATATCTAGATCATTGGCTCTAAGATTGAACAATTGTGATGCATCTTATATAATACAATTGACGCAGGTTTGACAAATATCATGGATGAGGGTAAGAAACAAGTGAGGAATTGTACAGAAGCAGAGGGGCAGTTAGGCACCTGATCCCGGATCCGGTGGCGAAGACGAGGACGTCGCGGGCGTCGGCGATCCTGCTTACCTCGAACCCGCGGCCGACGACGCTGCCGCCGACGGGGACGAGGTCGCCGGGGCGGAGGTCGCAGAGGCGCGCGGAGGGGGTGCCGGGGAGGCGCTTGACGAGGAAATCGAACGATTTGGGAGGAGACCCGGAGGAGGAGGCCGGGGGAGGGGAGGAGATGGCGAGGAAGATGGGGTAGGGCGCGGAGGGGAGGCGGAAGGGGAGGAACTGGCCGGCGGCGACGTGGGAGGCGAGGAGGGGCCCGTGGGCGGAGAGGTCGAGGGAGACGTGGAAGAGGGAGGCGTCGGCGGTGGCCGCGCGGACCGAGGCGACGGGCGCCTCCGTCCACTCGGTCGGGGCGGGGGGCGGGCCCGCGAGGGCCGCGGCGGCAGCGTTGGAGAGAGCGCGAAGCCGGTGCGGGCGGAGCAGGTGGAGGCGCCGCGGCGGCGACCGGAGGAGCATCGCGGCGGCCGGCCGATGCGGGGAGGAGGAGGGGGGGAGGCTGCCGGATCTCGGTGGCCTCCCGCGAGGCAGGCGGCGTGGGTGTATACGCACGTGCGCATGTTTGATTTCTCCTCTCCCAAGTCAAGAGGGGAAATTATACTTCACCCAAAATAGAAAGCAATCTTTTTTCTTGCAATAATAAGGAGTAGCACTCCCTTAAATCTACATTAATTGTCACTAATTTAACTTCCGTAACAAAATGTAAGATGTTTTTAATTTTATAAAGGGCATTTCTGAGTAGTGACTTAACGGCAGAGGGACAAATTTGAACATGCTTTGAAATTAGGGGCAAATCTGAGTAGGTAGTTCGATTTAGGGGCAGAAATGCAAATGGCCCTTTATACAAAACATAAGAAACGTCTTACATTTTGTTACGGAGGGAGTACTACTTTATGCCGAATCAACGACAATTGATATGAATCAACGACAATTGATATGGATCGAAGGAGGGAGTACTACATCGCAAAGGCAATTGCACCAATTTTGCTTCCGGTAATTGTAATGATATGGATTTGAATATTGAACAATGAACACACTAGGTGGAAATTCACCATATGGGTTTGCCGTTGGATATTTGAAGAGCTGGTTAAATCGTTTGATATGTATGTTTTGTCATAATCTAAAGAGGAAATGGACCGTAATAACTAGTTGTGCAGCTCGAACATTTTCCTTCCCTGGGGTGTGGCGATGGCGAACCATTGTGAAAGCACCTAGGGGAAAAGAGGCTAGGCCCAAAAGGTAGTTTTTTCAACAACAAAAAATAACAATAAATAAAAAATATTTTCTGATACTCCAAAATGCAAAAGAAAACATAATTTACAACTACCAAATGCCATGCTATCCTTTTATAAAATATTGCCTTCCTCATATTTATCAAAATTACCAGAGAATATTCAAAAAAAATGAACTGTGATATCAAAAAACATTGTCATGCTCTAATAGGAAGGGTGTGCGCACTCTTGTTGAGTTGACACACATTACAGCAAAGAACAGACTTGGAGGTACCACAGAAAAAAACAGACTTGGAGGGAGATAAAGAAACCATAAGGGACCCATTGTTTCTGTGCAAGTCGAACAATGATATAAATAAACATAATGGTCTAACGGCAATTTTAACAGAAAAATGTTTATCTAGATCACACTGGGGTGCTTCGCAAAACACGGGCTGAATAAATTGCCATCGCTTCAATAATAAAAAATGTCATCCCCTAAAAATAATTTGCCATGGTACCTACACTAAAGTTAATTAATAAAATTGTCAACTTTTAAATGATAAAAATATCATCGAGGAAATAATAAGCCATGCTACCTAAACTAAACCAACCTTGGTCTAATTGATAAAAATCGCCATGGTCTAGCAAAATAAAAGTTTCATGCTGCTTTAGTCATAAAAAACATGGCAATTTTAGAAATTTTGTTCTTTTGGAAAAAAGATGGCAAATTTTAGAGAAACCAAGCCAAATTGTTTGACATGGAAATTGCGGAGTTTTTCAAAATTTGAAGTTTTGACATGTGAGTATTACACAAAAGATAGCAATATATATATACATATATATAGAGAGAAAAGCATGTGAGTACATGGGGAAAAATGACATCCTCTAAATAGTAAAATTGACATGCTATCTACACTAAAACTACCATTGTCTAGTTAATAAAATTGACATCGTTTATATAATAAAAATGCCATAGTCTAAACAATGAAAATGCTACGCTACATGTAGTAGACCTACCATGGTCTAATTGATAAAAATTGCCATAGTCTAGCAAATAAAAGTTCCAAGCTACCTTAGTCATATAAACATGCTATTTTAGGAATTTTGTTTAGAGAAACCATGCCAACTTGTTTGACATGGAAATTGGGGCGTTTTTCAAAATTTTAAAGTTTTGACATGTGAGTATTACACAAAAGAAGGCAATATATATAGAGAAAAACATTGCAAAAGCTGGCAAAAAAGTAACTCAAAATTGAGAATGGCAAAATTTGCAAGGGGAAAAAAATATTGTTGTGCATCACAAAATGTATCTAAAATTTGCTGATGGTCCATGCAGTAGGATGTCATCTAAAGTTTCTCACGGCGGTAGGATCTTCGACAAAACATTCTCGTGATAGTAGAATGTCAACTGGAGTTTCAGGAAAAAAAATAAGTTTGTGGTTTGTGGAGCTCAAGTGATGTAGAATCTGGGCTCATCCTGGATGACCGACTAGGTGACCTCCAACTCACTAGCATTACTCACCGAGACATTGTTCTGCAGGCACGAGGCGGTTTGAACAACAACATACTATATGCATATATACTAATTTCTTCAAAATAGCTTAGAAATCTTGTATAAATCCAACATTTGGATATGTCACTAGTAGTGGTCTACATTACATGCATACAAATATGTCGTGACTAAAATAACAACACCACCATTTCATTCTCAAACCGGACAATACATATCTCTTGCCTCTAGATCTCTTGTCGGGTCAAAATCAACGTGTACCAAAACATCTGTTTGACACTTTGAAAATTTAACCACAGTTTTAGGTGGTCATATATATTGACACCATGCAAGGTTCCAATTTTTTCTGACAGTGTTTCAATTTTTATGATTCAAAAAATATTTCTAAATAAACTATGTATTGTTTCAATTATCACATGTGAATGTTTGAGTTTATGAATTAAGTTCATGAAACAATACCAAATAGACAGCAAGAAAATTTGGTACAGTGAGATTAGGAAATGAAAGCACACACACTCCCTTGATGGTTTTGGTAATTCATGTCAACATGCATGTTGTTGGACTAATGGTTTCCTTGAGAATATTTCAGGATGAGTTCAACTTTAGGGACAACCTTGAAATTTGAAGTGGACCCGTCAACATACTACATAGCAAGTGTTGGTTAAGCCTCAAGACTTTTCATTTTATATTTGAGTGGTCCAAGAACATATTGAGTCCATAGAAAAATCAATACTATCAAAAGGGGATGGGATTATGATAATGCATTCACTGCTCAAGTGCTTAGAGTTATTGCTCCAATTGTGGTTGACTGACGACTAGGCTGCCTGCACTAGTAGAAAACAGGGCTTTGGTTCGGGCCTGGCCAGCCCATTAGTCCCGGTTCTTCACGAACCGGGACCAATGGGGGGCATTAGACCCGGTTCATGAGCTCAGGGGGCCAGCCGGGGCCTCGTGGGCATTGGTCCCGGTTCATCTGGATCCATTTGTCCCGGTTCTAGGCACGAATCGGGACCAATGGTCCACGTTCCTGGCCCACAACCATTGGTACCGGTTCGTGCCATGAACCGATATAGAAGGGGGGATTTAGTCCCGGTTCATGCCATGAACCGGGACAAATAAGTTGCCTATATATACCCATCGCCGCGGCAGAGAACTCTATTTTTTCTGGCCGACGAGGGGAGGGCATTTGGGTGCTCTAGCTCACCTCCTGTGCACATGAGGTGTTAGATGAAATGCCCGAGCCACACTAGTTAAGCTTTCTCCTCTAGAAGCTCGACCTCGGAGCTCCATTTTTCCCGAGATTTGTCTAGATTTAGCGGTCCGTCACGCCCCGTCCCCGTTTTCACCGCCGTTGATCGCCCGCGCCGATCTCATCGCCGGCACCACCATGGTAAGCCTCTTGTTCTTATCTTCTTTCTGATTTTCTTACTTTAGATAGAGACTTGTCTGATTTCCTTACTCTAGATAGATACTTGTCTGATTTTCTTACTTTTGACACACATAATTATATATAATGCACGCAGATGAACCGGCAATGGATGTATGGTGACAGACACACCTCCGGGTACATTAAGGGCGTGCATAATTTTCTCGAAGTGGCTGAGGCAAACAAGCAGAATGGTTTTATGTGTTGTCCATGCCCTAAATGTGGGAATACAAAGTCTTACTCTGACTGGAAAATCCTTCACACCCACCTGCTTTACAAGGGTTTCATGCCACACTATAATGTTTGGACAAGGCACAGAGAAATAGGGGTTATGATGGAAGACGGCGAAGAAGAAGAGGACGATGACAACTATGTGCCCCCAGAATACAGTGATGCTGCAACGGGGGGAGCTGCTGAAGATCAAAAGGAACCAGACGGTGTGCCCGATGATGCTGCAACGGGGGAAGCTACTAAAGATCAAGAGGAACCAGACGATGTGCCCGATGATGATGATCTCCACCGGGTCATTGTCGATGCAAAGACGCAATGCGAAAGTGAAAAGGAGAAGCTGAAGTTCGATCGCATGTTAGACGATCACAAAAAAGGGTTGTACCCCAATTGCGAAGATGGCAACACAAAGCTGGGTACCGTACTGGAATTACTGCAGTGGAAGGCAGAGAATGCTGTGCCTGACAAAGGATTTGAGAAGCTACTGAAAATATTGAAGAAGAAGCTTCCAAAGGATAACGAATTGCCCGACAGTATGTATGCAGCAAAGAAGGTCGTATGCCCTCTAGGATTGGAGGTGCAGAAGATACATGCATGCCCTAACGACTGCATCCTCTACGGCGGTGCGTACAAGGATTTGAACGCATGCCCGGTATGTGGTGCATTGCGGTATAAGATCAGACGAGATGACCCTGGTGATGTTGACGCCGAGCCCCGCAGGAAGAGGGTTCCTGCGAAGGTGATGTGGTATGCTCCTATAATACCATGGTTGAAACAACTGTTCAGAAACAAAGAGCATGCCAAGTTGATGCGATGGCACAGTGAGGACCGTAAGAAAGACGGGAAGTTGAGAGCACCCGCTGACGAATCGCAGTGGAGAAAATCGAGAAAGAGTACTGGGCTGAGTTTGCACGTGACCCAAGGAACGTATGGTTTGGTTTAAGCGCGGATGGCATTAATCCTTTCGGGGAGCAAAGCAACAATCACAACACCTGGCCCGTGACTCTATGTATGTATAACCTTCCTCCTTGGATGTGCATGAAGCGGAAGTTCATTATGATGCCAGTTCTCATCCAAGGCC